CAGCATGATTGTAAACTTCCTGAGGCCCTCACCAGAAGCTGAGAAGATGTCAGTGCCATGCTTCCTATACAGCCAGCAGAACTGTGAGCCAATTAAACCTCTTTTTTTTTATAAATTACTCAGCTTCAGGTAATCCTTTATAGCAACACAAAAATGTACTAAGACACACAGTCACTTAATTCATCTGAGCCTAAGTTTCATCTGCAAAACTATGATACCTGCCTCATAGGGTTGAATAAAGATATTCAATATACTCTATGGGTATATGTATATAGGCCAGTCTAATAAGACCTGCATTAAAGTATAATGAGCTACTCACATATAACTGTAATTTAGCTTCAGTTACAGTTACACAATATGTCACCCACAATGCCTAAAATACTTAGTGTATATATTTTATTTATATTCTTCTGGTTTATATTCTTTCATATGTTCTGGAAGGATATTAACCAAAATAATATAAATAAAATATAAATAGTGGTTATTTCTAGGTGATGGAATTACAAGTGAAATTATTACTATTTTTTTTGCCCCTTTCTTATTTGTATTTTCTAACGTAAAGTATTATGTCTCCCTGAGTGTCAGCATAGCATTGTGAATACAGTCATAGACTCTGGAGCCTGACTTCTTAGGTTGCAATACTGGCTCCCTTACTTACTACCTGCGTGAGCTTGGGGAAGTCACATAGTCTCCATCTCAGTTTCCCCATTTGTAAAATGGAGATAATATTACTTCCATTATACAACAAAATGAGTTAATATAGGTGAAATGGTTAGAATTGTGCATGGCAGATAGCATTACATAAATGTTTTCAAATATTATTTTTCTCTCCACGTACTTTCTCTTAAAAGTCCTAGTTTTTGGATGTCGTTAATATAGCAATCAACAAATGAAGTTACAGTTATATGTGAGTAGTTCACTATAGTTTTTAATGCAGGTCTTAGCAGACTATGGCCAGTGGCCCAGCAGCCCCCAAGCTAAGAATGGTTTTTATACTTTTAATGGGTTGTGAAAGATGGAAAGAAAAAAAAGAATTTGCAACAGAGACAGTATGTGACCCACAAAGCCTCAAATACTATTTGGTCCTTTATAGGAAAAGGTTGCTGACTTTTGGCTTAATATGCTTTCCCTTTCAAATACATTTGCAATTTTAAATCAGCACAGTTTATACCAAGGAATAAATCTCTAAAGGAGGAATTTCAAGAAACATCTTAAACAGAAAAGGAAAATAGTTTCGGACAATGAAAATAGTATTTCATCTTGTGAATGTTTGCTCCCCTCCTCTCTGTTGAGATTAATTTTTCTACCAATGATTAAGAATCACTTCGTGGTAATTAATTGAAGGTTTGGTACAGCAGAATCAAACAATCCAAAAGGTACTTAAACTCATGAGGCTAAATGGGATCTCAAATGATTATTGGGTTTCTTTGGCCAACTCTGTCGGGCTGATCCAACTACCATGGGAATTGCGATCATATCAGGTCTGGAATCAGCAAATTTGCTAGGCTAAATATCCAGTTCTTTGCCACAGACCCTTGTGGTAATGAGTGTGGGAACATGAAAGCTGACTCAGGAAGTCTTTAGGCACACTTAAGAGAAATAAAGTTGCCTGAAGTAAAATCTTTAGAAATCTTAAATTGTTAAAAAGCAATTGTGAAAGGGGGGGAAATTAAGCAATCTTTTTCATTTTTTGCCAACAAAGTGTTAACCTGAGATACTCTGGGTAATTTTATCTACTTCTTTAATTAGCCTTGAACAACTGGGAGACATTTTATGCTTTATGCAAACAAAACAGCTGCAGGCAAGAGAATGGAATAAGGGAGTCCTGGGTAGAGACCTGATGTTTCTCTGAGGGCCCTCAAGTAAGTCACATAGGAAGCTAGCAGGTCTGTCTGTGAAGTTGATGTGGGGGTGGGGCAGGCATTTGTCTACTGAATCCAGGAATCTGTGGGTGTTTATCGACTGAAGGTAAGGGTGGGAGGAATGAAGGGCAACTTTCTTTTTGACCTTATTTGGGCTTGCTGAGATTCAAACATGAACGAATGGTCAACTGAGGGGCTGTGGTTTGCCAGAAATCTATTTGCATGAAGCAAGAAGGACACTTCTAGGGCAGAGGAACAGGCACATTTGGCACAGTCAAAACATTCTTAATTGTAAAAGGCAGAGGCACTTCTGAATAGAGCACAGATTCTGTGTGCAGACTTGACTTTCAGCCCAGCTTCTGAGTATCTAAGTCCTATGTGTTGGGATTACAGGTGTGAATCACTACACTCAGCCACTTTATTTTTCTTAATTACATCAACTTGGTAGGGACATGGGTCGCTATGGTCTTGGGGAAGGAGATGGAAGAGGCATGTAGAGGAGAAGACATTCAGGCTGAGAGTAAGATCCATCACTAGAAATAAGGTCCAGGAAGGCAGGGGCTTTGTCTTGGTTCCCACTATATCCCCTAACCTGAAAACAGGGCCTGGAATATGCAGGTGCTCAATAAATGTTCATTGAATAAACAAATGAAATACAGGCAAAGTATATACAGGTCCTATTGTAAAACATCATAAAGGATGATGAGGCAATAGTCATTTCTCTTACTGGAGGTAATGACATTTCAAAAATCATTGAAGAAATACAATAAGAAAGAAACCTAATTAATTATACAACATCCTAACACAACCATTATTACACTTCTATTGTTATACTTTCAGTATTTTATAATACACATTTAAAATAGATTTGTAATCGGAAAATTTCTGAGGGGAAATATAACTTATTTTCAAAAGAACCAATCTACCTTTACCGACAAAATATCACTAAAAACCAACATGGGTGACGTTACTTAAGTAAGTCTGAAATAATTCTTGATAGCTAAGTCAATACAACAAAGTATGTGGTATAAATCTTAGACTTACTGGTAAAGGAAGTATAAGACGTGCATTCTCTTGGTAGTTCCTACTCTAGGGGTTTCAGTGTTCTCATTTGTAAAATGAGAGGCCTGGGCCTCAATAATCTCAAAGGTTATTTTATTTAATTTAATCCCTAAATTTTATTTTTTTACATGCCGATTGTAAAGCAGTTTGTGTGTATGTATATACATAATATATAATAATATTAATTCAGACATAGGAGCTCCTTCCATGAAGAAGGAATATAGAGTTTAGAAATTCACATTTTAACAGCCATTTCCAATTTTTCAGGACTAATTTTTACCTGGATGAATTGCAGTAAGTAGTTTCACTTAATAGATAGACTGATTACTAGTATTTTAAATTCCCAAAGATAAATCTTTATCCTTCTAAACCAACAAAACAGAGTTAATTAAAAACAAAGTGACAACAACCACCCAGCTAGGAGTAGTCAAAGGGGAAGATTGATGGTAAAACATAATTGGTTCATTGGCATAGAAATGGGATGAAGAGGCCGGGCACGTTGGCTCACGCCTGTAATCCCAACACTTTGGGAGGCCGAGGTGGGTGGATCACGAGGTCAGGAGATGGAGACCATCTTGGCCAACATGGTGAAACCCCATCTCTACTAAAATACAAAAAAAACAAAAACAAAAACAAAAACAAACAAAAAAAAAAATTGCGGGGCATGGTGGTAGGCGCCTGTAGTTCCAGCTACTCGGGAGGCTGAGGCAGGGGAATTGCTTGAACCCGGGAGGCAAAGGTTGTAGTGAGCCGAGATCGCACATTGCACTCCAGCCTGGCAACAGAGTGAGACTCCGTCTTAAAAAAAAAAAAAAAAAAGGAAAAAAGAAATGGCATAAAGAAAATTCTTTTTCTTTTTTGAGACACGGTCTCACTGTGTCATCCAGGATAGAGTGTAGTGGCACAATCACGGCTCACTGCAGCCTCAACCTCCCAGGCTCAGGTGATTCTCCCACCTTAGCCTCCCGAGCAGCTGGGACTAAGGCACCTTTGACCACGCCTGGCTAATTGTATTTTTTGTAGAGACAGGGGTTTCACCATGTTGGCCAGGCTGGTCTCGAACTCCTAGCCTTAAGCCATCCTCCTGCCTCGGCCTCCCAAAGTGCTGGGATTACAGGCCTGAGCCATCGCTCCCAGCCAGAAAATTATATCATTAGGCTCTTACATGGAGGAGTTAGTAATGCCTGAAATTTTTCCTCCTTGTAAAATTCAGGGTCAACCCTGTTGATCCTGTGTTTTTTTAAGGACCAAATCACTGTTGTCTCTTGAGGATAACTCAACAGACACGATTAATTCATTAACGTAAATATTATCTTTCTTTTGATGGCCACAGTAGAAGTGCCTTGAATTGAAGCTTTATCTCCTCCATTGTCACCATCACTAGGCAGGTGAGGCTGAGGACTGCGTGGTTTAAGGCAACGCTTCAGGAGGGAGCAAAAACGCATCCACTGTGGAGATGAGGTTTCGGTTGCCTTCATTCTTTAAATAGCGCAAACCCGTCACAATGTCAAAAGAACCATATTTGAATTCGAGCTGCAAGCAAGTAAATCGAAGTATATACTAGAATTGATTCCCAGCCTGAAGGCGGATGCTGAATTCAGACCAGGAGTGACACTCTAGGATTTCCACGGTAGTTCATGAAAGAAAGAGAATCTGGGACTAAACAGAGAGTCCACACCCGCTTTTCCTGCACCAAAACACGCCGAGATGTTGATCGGCATCGCGTTAGTCACATTAGGAGCAGCAATCGCATTATCAAAAACTGCGACATGGCATGCAAATAATAGCGACCTTCCCACCACGTGTCGTCGGCAGGCAGTGGATGCCACCATAGGATCCCTATAGAATGCCCTACAGTTCCCCCACGGCCATCTGCCCAGGCGACTCGGAGTCCCAGGCCCCACCGCGCCCTCCAAAACCCGTCTTGGGCGTTCAATACCCGGCGCTCAAGGCGGTCTCTTGCTGCCCCCTGCCAGGCCCCTAGCTTCGGGCTACGAAGGGCTGAAGTACCGCCACGAGGGGGCGCAGGACCAATGGCGTCACCTCTGCGCGCGACCCGAGGCCGGAAGTTAGTCTTTTCCACTTCCGCTTCTCCTCGCAGCTCCGGACCCCAGAGGCGGAAGTAAAAGCCGTTTACAGCGGGTGGATGCACTTTAGGGTGAGATTGGCAAGTTGGTGAGGCCGTGCTTTCCTTTCTTTTTGTTAAGAAGTGGGTGTGGGTGACTGCTGTACAGTGCAACCCCTTGCAGAGTTGCCCTTGGGGGAGGAAGAGGGATGGAAAGAGCCTTCGGTGTGGAATTACCTTGGTTTTGAGTTAAGAAAGATCCACCTGGGTTCGAATCCTAATGCTTCAGCTAGCGAAGGCAGGCTAGTATGGGAGCTCGGCGCTGTTTCAGATTTTGTAATTTTAAGGCTTATGCCTACCTTCTAAATTGTTGTGGGGAGTAAAGCGAGACAATGTATATGAAGCACTTAGCTTTGGTTTTACAAAACATTCGTGATTCCGCTACCTTTTCCCATCATATGTAGGCATGTACTTGCCGTTTTCTTTTCTGTATGTCTGAGAGATGTTGTTTGCAAGAGGTAATGCGTCTCACGAGAACATAATGCAATGCGAACGTTAGCTGGGATCGAACTCTTGTTTTGTATTAGGAAGGCCTGAAATATTTTGCCTTTTTTGTGTATGTGTGTCATTTCTAGGGACAGCTGTTCTCCAGCCTTTCTAGAGGGATGCAGAGCCTTTCCTTAAGACAAACAAGGTGAGAAATGCATGTAAAGATCTCCAAACTTAGCTTGCTGTATCAAAAGAAGACCAGCTGGAATGTGGCATCTTAGGGCCAGTGATTATTTCCATTAACAGCCTGTTTAATAGGCCAGTTGTGGGGCAGAGGGGAACGTAAATCTTTTTTTTAGACCGATCATACTACAAGCATAGAGATTTTCAGTGTGTTTGTTAAGTTTGAACATTAGCCCTTGGGATAATGGTTTTGGTTAACTTAAAAAGTCAATTTGAGAAATAGATTGAAGTCAATTTTGGAATAGGTGCCATTTCTGAAATTTGTACATGAGGAAAGTTGGTGACTTTCTTGTATTAGGCTATTTAGGTGTTCATTTACCCTACTAGATATTATGAATATTTTGAATGGAGATCCGTTGCTAAGAGTAAAGCATCATGGAGAATTTTGAAGTGTGACTTTTTTGGTGCTAGAAACCGAAAAATCGATAAAGATAATACGTATTTCCCATTGTTTTTCACACCTAAGGCCATTTTTACTTGTTTAAAACTTTTTTGTCCGACTGCAAAGTAGCACATATTCATTAAAGTCCCAGTATTTCAGAAGTAGTACATAGCCTCCAATAATCTTTCAGAAATAACTGTCATTCCACCTCTGTATATATTAATGTCCCCCCACTGCCTTTAACATACATGGCATTATCCATACTGTTAGGCAGTTTGTCATGTAGAGTATCTTTGACATCTTTTTATTGCAGTAGATCAGTCTTTATTTTTGGCACCTTTATAGTATACAGCCTAGATGTACCACAATTTATTAATCATTCTATTAGTGGCCATTTGAGTTTCTTCTTCTATGCCGTAGCTAATAATGTTATGGTGGTCTTCCTTTTTCTTTCTTTTTCTTTTTTTATGAGACAGAGTCTTGCTCTGTCACCCAGGCTGGAGTGCAGTGGTGCAATCTCAGCTCACTACAACTTCCACCTCCCAGGTTTAAGCAGTTCTTGAGCCTTAGCCACTTGAGTAGCTGGGATTAGAGGCATGTATCACCATGCCTGGCTAATTTTAGTATTTTTAGTAGAGATGGGGTTTCGTTATGTTGGCCAGGCTGATCTCAAACTCCTGACCTCCCAAAGTGGTGAGATTATAGGCGTAAAACCACTGTGCTTGGCCTGGTCATTATTTTTCATAACAAACACGTATTCTTGTTTTTTTTTCTTTTTGAGATGGGCTCATTCCGTCATCCAGCCTGGGATGCCGTGGCTAGATTATGGCTCACTGTAACCTTGACCTCCTGGGCTCAAGCAGTCCTCCTGCCTCAGCCTCCTGAGCAACTGGGACTATAGGTGTGCACTGTTACAGTTGGCTAATAGTTTGATTTTTTGTAGAATAAGGGTCTCACTTTGTTGCCCAGGCTGGTCTCAAACTCCTGGGTTTAAGCAATCCTTCCACCTTGGCTTTCCAAAATACTGAGATTACAGATGTGAGCTGCTGCCCCTGGCCCTTTTTATTCCATTTGGATAATCTCCAGGGAGTGGAAATGCTGCGTTAAAGGCTATGAACATTTAAAATTGTGGCAGCTGGTGCCAAATTCTGGTTCTGGCCCATTAACAATATTTGAGAATTTCCTCTGTTTTCTCATATGTTCATTAACAATCGATATTAATTACTGTTTCTAGGTTTAGTTGAGACCACACATGTCATTTTTAGAGTAAATTTATTGCATTTTAGTATTGTAATCAAGACCAAATTTCAGATGCCTGTTGTAAGTCCATTTCAGCTCTTGTTTTCTATAAATAGAAAGCTTAGTTTTAGATTCCTTAGTAATAAGTTATCATAAAACAAATGATTGACTTCAATTGTAAGTATTTTAAGGATTTGAGGGAAGATTATATTTGAATGGGACCTTGTCCTATGGATAGGCATCAGGAGGATGGGCCTTTCTAAAAGAAAGAGCAACTTAAGCAAAGGCAGGGAGACAGGAATGGGCAAAGATGTTTGGGATCAGAGGTTTGAGAGGCAGTAGTGCTAGGTATTGAGGTGGTAGAATAGAAGAGATAGCTGGAAAGGTAGTTAGAAGTAGATGGTAAGGTTGTTAGAACTAACTGAAAAGGTAGCTAGAAAAAGATCGCTTTGAAGATTTTGTTTTTTCGGGGAGAGTTACAGAAGGTCTTTAATCAGAGAATGAGGGACATAATCACATCATTTTACAAATATCAGTATGGTGGCAGTTTTGAGTGATTGATGTCAGAGAAGCGCATCAGGTGGCTGTTACAGGCTGGGTGAAAGAGAATGAAGACTTGTAACAGAATGAGAATTACAAAGATTAGCGAGGGTGGATTTCAGAGAGATGCCAAAGAAGTTGAATCTACTTGATTTGATGACTGGAGTTGAGGAAGAGGAAGAAAGCAAAGCTCACTTTTGGATTTTTATCACAAATGACTCTTAGGATAGTGATTGTGATAATGATATCTTTAGTCAGAAGAGGGCAACTTTGGGGACTGGGAAAGATACTCAAGTTTGGGGCATGTTAGTTTGTGTGGAAGATACTTCCATGAAGGATGAGTTATACACAAGACATCAAATTTACTTGTGACAGATTTAGAAGAAACATTTATAGATTTGTTACTTTTTGTTAGGAATTTTAGCATACATTTTCACTTATTTTTAGTTTGCTATTAATATAATTTCTGTTGAACATTCTGTGGCTTGTTCAGCCTGTTTACCATGATGCTAATAGTCTTAAGAAAGTGCACTGTCTAAAGTAGTAGTCCACACTTCCTTGATTGTGTACATTGTCAATAAAAATATACCTACAATATATGTACATTTGTTTATTGATTATATGTCTTACAGTACCATCATATTGTTTATATTATAAAGCATATGTAGAAAGAATTTTCAAAGGCTAAGACAAATATACATTGTAGTTTTACTATTTTCTTCCTCCATCCCATTGTATCATCTTGGACCTCTCTAGAAAGTACTGGTCTGATTTCCAGCTGATGCATTCTGCCCCATTATTCCAGTAGAGGTCACTCGAGCATCTGGAAGAGAGAACAGGCTGTTGAGCTATGCAAGGAAGAGCCTTCATTCTTCAGTTAGAAGGATAATTGTATTTTAGTTTCGAAATTCATGCATTTTTGGAAGAGTATGTAGTTACAGAGTAGTATGTGGTATTATGGAGAAGTGAAGAATAGTGAGTTCAGCAGAGTATGGATCAATCTAAAATGTGCTTTTGTTGTTTGATGTTTATGTTGTGAGTGCCTTGCATTTGGCTTTACACATTACTTGATTCTATAGTTTTGGGGTCTTTTCCCAATTCTGTGAGAATCTGTAGATTATGTGAGCCACAGGAATGTTCCCTGCCTGTAGGCATAATCAAGTTCTAGTTAAAATTGGAGTAATTGAAAGGACAGACACAAAGAGGCTTTCTTTGAAATTGATCTTGAAAGCAGTGTCTTTAGCCCAAAGAGTTTAGTAGTGGGTTGGAATAATCTATCTCTATTTTCTATTTTATGCTTAATTAGGAAAAGGAGAAAAAAGAATACCTTTTCTAAGTAAGAGCCCGTTGTAAGTAATTAGAAATCAAGCATGAACTTGTTACAGCTATATATTCTAAAAAGGCAAAAGTACAGTTTAAAAAAATATGTATGTACGTTATATGACTCAGGCACAAGTAGCTTAGAAACAAATCAGATAGGTTGAATAACAGAACACTTTTTCTGTTGCTTTTCCCATAAAATATTTCTTATAAATAGAGATGCTCAATTTAATAGGGATCTATGATTATGATTATAAATAAGCTTGTATGTTTTGAGTCCCATTTCTAAATGATCAGGAAAAATGAGTTATTGAGGTTTTAGTCACATGCTAGAAGCTGCAAGTTGAAAGTGTTGTGCAACACATGCAAACAGCCCAAAACTAGTCTTGTTAATATGGTGATGGAGAAGGGGAGAATGGTGAAAGTAATGTTTTAATGTTTACATGCCATCTTTCAGCACAGTTTCACATGTGATGGGCTATGAGGATTTAATATCGCAACTAGATCATTTTGAAGATGAAAATTGGTTTGGAATTATTGGATTACAATGTAGGGAATGGCAGGGTAAACCAAATGATTGTGATCAAGAGCTGTTGACTAGAGCTCTATATAAGCTAAGAAAAATTAAGGCTTTAATGGTAACATGGATATAAAGGGTAGCATGAATCTAGAAAAAGATGTTCAAGATGTTGAGAATTTCCTCTGTTTCCTCATATGTTCATTAACAATCAATATTATGAATTACTGTTTCTAGGAAATTAATCAGGTGTTGGTTTTCAGGGCTAGATTTAGAGTTTGAAAACCAGGAGGCCAGAGGCAAAGAAATCTAGTATCTATGGGCAGGGCAAGGTCAAAGACCTGGAAAATTGAAATATAAGGCAATAAGCCAGACCTGGCATGGTGGCTCACACCTGTAATCCCAGCACTTTAGGAAGCCAAGGCAGGCAGATCACTTGAGCCCAGGAGTTTGAGACCAGCCTGAGTGACATAGTGAAACGCTGTGTCTACAAAAAATAAAAATAAAAAATTAGCTGGGTGTGTGGGGGCATTCCTGTGGTCCCAACTACTTGGGAGGCTGAGCTGGGAGCATCACCTGAGCCTAGGGAGATGAGGTTGCAGCGAGCCATGATTGTGCTGCTGCACTCCAGTCTGGATGACAGAGTGAGACCCTGTCTCAAAAAAAAAAAAAAAAAAAAAAAGTTTGGAAATCCGGAGGACAAAGCAGAGATGGAGAGGGTCAACTGATTTTAGGTAGCCAAGGCAGGCAAGGGTAAACAAAAAGAGCATGAAAAAAGGAAGAACAATTCTGGGTCACTAATGGTGCCCTATCCTGTTTTTCTTTATGTTAACAATGGAAGCAGCCCCATGCCTACAAATAACAGAAGCAGTGAGCTAGGGAGAGACAGTGCAGTGGCTGAATTATTAACACAGTTCTGTAGAGCTGGAACTGAAGGTAATATTCTCATAGAAATGACCATGATGCTCATAGGATCATAATATGGCCATTTAGTTGTTTAACACATGCATTTGTATAATATTTTATGTGTTGTTTTACACAGCACTTCAAAAGGTTTGAACTACCTAACCATTATGGCACCAAGAAACCTCTGGCATATGAGAAGTAACTTTCTCTTTGGTTCAAGATGTTGGATGACCCGATTTTCAGCAGAAATCATCTTCAAATCAGTTTCATTTAGACTTTTTGGTGTGAAGTGTCATAATGCAGACAGTGAGCCTTCGGAAAATGAGGACCTACTGAACAACTTACTTACTATGGGAGTAGATGTTGACATGGCAAGGAAACGACAGCCTGGAGTTTTTCATAGGATGATTACCAATGAGCAGGACCTGAAGACGTTCCTTCTTTCCAAAGGAGCTAGCAAAGAAGTGATTGCTAGCATCATATCAAGATACCCACGAGCAATAACACGTACTCCTGAGAATCTTTCAAAACGGTGGGATCTGTGGAGAAATATTGTGACATCAGACCTTGAAATTGTAAATATTTTGGAACGTTCTCCTGAATCCTTTTTTCGGTCCAATAACAACTTAAACTTAGAGAATAATATAAAGTTCCTCTACTCAGTTGGATTGACCCGTAAATGCCTTTGTCGATTGTTGACCAATGCCCCTCGTACCTTCTCCAATAGTCTTGATCTGAATAAACAGATGGTTGATTTTTTGCAGGCAACCTGTTTGTCATTGGGTCACAATGATCCCACAGATTTTGTCAGGAAGATAATTTTTAAAAACCCTTTTATCTTAATTCAGAGCACCAAGCGGGTAAAAGCTAACATTGAATTCTTACAGTCAACTTTCAACTTGAACAGTGAGGAACTGCTGGTTCTGATATGTGGTCCAGGAGCTGAAATCCTAGATCTTTCCAATGACTATGCCAGAAGAAGCTACACAAATATCAAAAAGAAGCTGTTTTCTCTTGAATGTACTGAAGAAGAGGTACAGAAGTTTGTCTTAAGCTATCCAGATGTGATCTTCTTGGCAGAGAAGAAGTTTAATGATAAAATAGACTGCCTCTTAGAAGAAAACGTTAGTATTTCACAAATAATTGAAAATCCTCGGGTTCTGGATTCAAGCATAAGTACTTTAAAAAGTCGAATCAGAGAATTGGTAAATGCTGGCTGTAACTTGAGTACTTTAAACATCAGTCTTCTATCTTGGAGTAAAAAAAGATACGAAGCTAAATTGAAAAAGTTAAGCAGATTGGCCTAAGGATGCCAGTGTTTTTAATTCTCAGGAAATGTAAATATGTTATGCCACATTGCAAAAGAATTTTGCAGAAGTGATTAAGTTAAAATGTTATTAAGGGCCTTAAGATGGGGAGATTATCCTGAATTACTTGGGAGGGCCCAATATAATCATAGGGGTCTTTAAAAGTTGAAGAGGGAGGCAAAAGAGGAGGGCAGAGTGATCGTATATAAGAAAGACGACTACTTTTGAAGGAAGGTAAAAGGGGGCTTTGAAAGAGGAAGACACCTTGAGCCAAGGAATGAAGGGGGCCTGTAAAAAAAAAAAAAAATGAAAGAGGCAAGAAAACAGATTCTCCCTTAGAGTCCCCAGAAAGAATGCAGCCTTGCTGGCACCTTTTTAGCTCAGTGGGATCAATGTCAAACTTCTGACCCACAGAACCATAATATGGTAAATTTGTGTTCTTTTAAACCACTGAGTCAGTGATAATTTGCTGCAGAAGCGAATAGATTAATATAGCAACTAAGTAGATGATTAGTTGCATTATAGGTGAAGTCACAAAATACAGTCCTTTAGTGTTAAGTCTGTGTTTCTTCCTTTTATAAGAGTAATTATATTTAAAAAATCTACCTACCCTTCTGGAATTGCTAATATTAAGTGTTTATGAAGTCTTAAATGTGCATAAAAAACTAAATGTGAATAATCTAAATAAAGGAATATTTTTGCCTAATATAGTTTAAGGAAATGGTAATCATTTCTGTGCATTTTGTTGGCATTTCAGCTAATATTGAGTAATTTTCAGAGGCGTTGACTTAAAAAATGACAAATCAGATAATGTCGGTATTTTCAAGATACAATCTAGCTCTGACATAAACTGAAAGATATGGGACAAATTATATGACTTTTAATTATATGACTTTTAATTATTTTCCAGAGGCATTTGTTTTCTAGATGTCGTTTTTGAATTAACATAATGGCGCTCAACCTTTTAAACCTCACTTGCTATCAGTGATGCCTTAAAAAACCTTATTCCTACTATTGATAAAAACAATATGTCTGCTTTTCTAAGGCCATTTATATATTCAACAATACTATTATTATAATTATCTTTGTTTATTTGATGGCAAGCATGGCACAGTTTAGAAAGCAAGAGCTTTAGAGTGATGTATCTGGGCACCATTCCTGAATAACTTGTGTTAATGTTTTAAATTTACTGAACCTGTTTTTCTCATCTGTAACACTAGAAATTGACCTTCCAGAGTTGGTAGGAATCAAATGAAAATGCACCTCTAAGTGCATATTCTTGCACATAGTAATGATGCAATCAGTGATCCCTATAATAAAAATAGTATTTTAAAAAGCAGCTTTATTTATATGTAAATCACATACTCAATTTACCTACTTAAAGTCTGACACAGTTCAATTTATATAGAGAGAGTTTTGCAACTTTATTTTCCATTGCTTATAATACATTTATAATTTGTTGGAAAATCTATAAAGAAAATGAATTTCTTAAAGTTATGGAAACTGAGAAATCCTAGGTTGAGGGGCCATATCTGGTGAGAGCCTTCTTGCTGGTGGGGACTCTGAAGAGTCCTGAGGCGGCACAGCTTATCACATGGCGAGTGCTAATGTGCTTAGGTCTCTTTTTCTCTTCTTATAAAGCCACCAGTCCACTCCCGTGATAAGCCATTAATTCACTGATACATTAATTAATGAATAGATTAATCAATTTCTGATGACATAGCCCTTATGATCCAATCACCTCTTAAAGGCCCCACCTCTCAATACTGTCACATTGGGGATTAAATTTCAACATGAGTTTTGGAGGGGACAGATAGTCAAACCATAGCAACAACCATCACCACAATCTAATTTTAGAATATGTTTGCAATCCTAACAGAAACCTTGTACCTGTTAGTGAGTCCCCATTGTTTCCCTCCATTTGTTCCCCCAGCTCTAAACAAAAACGAATCTGTTTTCTGTCTCTATAAATTTGTTTATTCTGAACATTTCATATAATTGGAATCATACAGTATGGTCTTTTGTGACTGGCTTCTTTTTTTTTATTATCCCATTTTCTTTTTTTTCTATTATTATACTTTAAGTTCTAGGATACATGTGCACAATGTGCCGGTTTGTTACATATGTATATATGTGTCATGTTGGTGTGCTGCACTCGTTAACTCGTCATTTACATTAGGTATTTCTCTGAATGCTATCCCTCCCCCCTCCTCCCACCCCACGACAGGCCCCGGTGTGTGATGTTCCCCACCCTGTGTCCAAGTGTTCTCATTGTTCAATTCCCACCTATGAGTGAGAACATGCAGTGTTTGGTTTTCTGTCCTTGCGATAGTTTGCTCAGAATGATGGTTTCCAGCTTCATCCATGTCCCTTCAAAGGACATGAACTCATCCTTTTTTATGGCTGTGTAGTATTCCATGGTATATCTGTGCCACATTTTCTTAATCCAGTCTATCGATGGACATTTGGGTTGGTTCCAGGTTTTTGCTACTGGGAATAGTACCTCAATAAACTTATGTGTGCATGTGTCTTTATAGCAGCATGATTTATAATCCTTTTGGTATATACCCAGTAATGGGATGGCTGGGTCAAATGGTATTTCTAGTTCTAGATCCTTGAAGAATCACCACACTGTCTTCCACAATAGTTGAACTAGTTTACAGTCCCACCAACAGTGTAAAAGTGTTCCTATTTCTCCACATCCTCTCCAGCACCTGCTGTTTCCTGACTTTTCAATGATCGCCATTCTAACTGGTGTGAGATAGTATCTCATTGTGGTTTTGATTTGCATTTCTGATGGCCAGTGATGAGGTCATGATCGCCATTCTAACTGGTGTGAGATAGTATCTCATTGTGGTTTTGATTTGCATTTCTCTGATGGCCAGTGATGATGAGCATTTTTTCATGTATCTGTTGGCTGCATAAATGTCTTTTGAGAAGTGTCTCTTCATATAGTTTGCCCACTTTTTGATGGGGTTTTTTTTTTCTTGTAAATTTGTTTAAGTTCTTTGTAGATTTTGGATATTAGCCCTTTCTCAGATGGGTAGATTGCAAAAATTTTCTCCCATTCTGTAGGTTGCCTGTTGACTCTGATGATAGTTTCTTTTGCTGTGCAGAAACTCTTTAATTAGATCCCATTTGTCAATTTTGGCTTTTGTTGCCATTGCTTTTGGTGTTTTAGACATGAAGTCCTTGCCCATGCCTGAATGTTGCCTGATTTTTTAGGATTTTATCCTTGATTTTTGTATAAGGTAAGAAGGTCATTGCTCTACATATGTGCCAGTTTTCCCAGCACCATTTATTAAATAGGGAATCCTTTCCTCATTTCTTTTTTTTGTCAGGTTTGTCAAAGATCAGATGTTTGTAGATGCGTGGTATTATTTCTGAGGGCTCTGTTCTGTTCCATTGGTCTACATCTCTGTTTTGGTACCAGTACCATGCTGTTTTGGTTACTATAGCCTTGTAGTATAGTTTGAAGTAAGGTAGCATGATGCCTGCGGCTTTGTTCTTTTTGCTTAGGATTGTCTTGGCAATGTGGGCTCTTTGTTGGTTCCATATGAAGTTTAAAGTGGTTTTTTCCAATTCTGTGAAGAAAGTCATTGGTAGCTTGATGGGGATGGCATGGAATCTATAAATTACCTTGGGCAGTATGGCCATTTTCATGATATTAATTCTTCCTATCCATGAGCATGGAATGTTTTTCCTTTTGTGTCCTCTTTTATCTCGTTGAGCAGTGGTTTGTAGTTCTCCTTGAAGAGGTCCTTCACATCCCTTGTAAGTTGGATTCCTAGGTATTTTATTCCATTTGAAACAATTGTGAATGGGAGTTCACTCATGATTTGGCTCTCTGTTTGCCTGTTATTGGTGTATAGGAATGCTTGTGATTTTTGCACCTTGATTTTGTATCCTGAGACTTCGCTGAAGTTGCTTATCAGCCTAAGGAGATTTTGGGCTGAGACGATGGGGTTTTCTAGATATACAATCATGTCATCTGCAAACAGGGACAATTTGACTTCCTCTTTTCCTAATTGAATACCCTTTATTTCTTTCTCCTGCCTGATTGCCCTTGCCAGAACTTCCAACACTATGTTGAATAGGAGTGGTGAGAGAGGGCATCCCTGTCTTGTGCCAGTTTTCAAAGGGAATTCTTCCAGTTTTTGCCCATTCAGTATGATATTGGCTGTGGGTTTGTCATAAATAGCTCTTATTATTTTGAGATACGTCACATCAATACCTAATTTATTGAGTGTTTTTAGCATGAAGGGCTGTTGACTTTTATCAAAGGCCTTTTCTGCATCTGTTGAAATAATCATGTTGTTTTTGTCTTTGGTTCTGTTTATATGATGGATTACGTTTATTGATTTGCATATGTTGTACCAGCCTTGCATCCCAGGGATGAAGCCCACTTGATCATGGTGGATAAGCTTTTTAATGTGCTGCTGGATTCGATTTGCCAGTATTTTATTGAGGATTTTTGCATTGATGTTCATCAGGAATATTGGTCTAAAATTCTCTTTTTTTGTTGTGTCTCTGCCAGGCTTTGGTATCGGGATAATGCTGGCCTCATAAAATGAGTTAGGGTGGATTGCCTCTTTTTCTGTTGATTGGAATAGTTTCAGAAGGAATGGTGTCAGCTTCTCTTTGTACCTCTGGTAGAATTCGGCTGTGAATCCGTCTGGTCCTGGACTTTTTTTGGTTGGTAGGCTCTTTATTATTGCCTCAATTTCAGAGCCTGTTATTTGTCTATTCAGGAATTCAGCTTCTTCCTGGTTTAATCTTGGGAGGTTGTATGTGTCCAGGGATTTTTCCATTTCTTCTAGATTATCTAGTTTATTTGTGTAGAGGTGTTTATAATATTCTCTGATGGTAGTTTGTATCTCTGTGGGATCAGTGGTGATATCCCCTTTATGATTTTTTATTGTGTCTATTTGATTCTTCTCTCTTTATTAGTCTTGCTAGCAGTCTATCAATTTTGTTGATCTTTTCAAAAAAACAGCTCCTGGATTCATTGATTTTTTGAAGGGTTATATCTCTATCTCCTTCAGTTCTGCTCTGATCTTAGTTATTTCTTGCCTTCTGCTAGCTTTTGGATGTGTTTGCTCTTGCTTCTCTAGTTCTTTTAATTGTGATGTTAGGGTGTCAATTTTAGATCTTTCCTGCTTTCTCTTGTGGGCATTTAGTGCTATAAATTTCCCTCTACACACTGCCTTAAATGTGTCCCAGAGATTCTGGTATGTTGTGTCTTTGTTCTCATTGGTTTCAAAGAGCATCTTTATTTCTGCCTTCATTTCGTTTTGTACCCAGTAGTCATTCAGGAGCAGGTTGTTCAGTTTCCATGTAGTTGAGCAGTTTTGCATGAGTTTCTTAATCCTGAGTTCCAGTTTGATTGCACTGTGGTCTGAGAGACAGTTTGTTATAATTTCTATTCTTTTACATTTGCTGAGGAGTCCTTTACTTCCAACTATGTGGTCAGTTTTGGAATAAGTGTGATGTGGTGCTGAGAAGAATGTATATTCTGTTGATTTGGGGTGGAGAGTTGTGTAAATGTCTATTAGGTCTGCTTGGTGCAGAGCTGAGTTCAATTCCTGGATATCCTTGTTAACTTTCTGTCTCATTGATCTGTCTCCTGTTGACAGTGGGCTGTTAAAGTCTCCTATTATTATTGTATGGGAGTCTAAGTCTCTTTGTAGGTCTCAAAGGACTTGCTTTATGAATCTGGGT